CGTGTATCTTGTCCAGACGCACAAAAAAGTCTCTTGGAGCCATAGCCTAAACCCAACAGGAAGTCGGCCATTTTGAATTTTACGTCAAATTTTGGATGATTTACACACTTCGTACTTTAACGAACTCCTCCTAGGGATTTAGTCCGACCGACCTCAAATTTTGCTGTGCCTTCTAAAGGCATTGAAGATGAAAAGTTGTGCTATTTGCAAGTTTTCGTCAATGGGCGTGTCCGTGGCGTGGCGTCAAAGATCAGCTCTTCGCCATGACACGGAAGTTGTCGTAACTTCAGTGTACATGCTCACATCTGGACCAAACTGTACATGTAGGATGAGAGTCCCGCCCTGAACACATGTACATGCCGACATTCACCCACAGTCATAGCGCCACCTGCTGGCAACAGGAAGTGACTTTTAACGAAGCAGCCCCCGCCGCACGTTTCACCTACGTGCACGAATTTTCTGTGGTACGTGTATCTTGTCCAGACGCACAAAAAAGCCTCTTGGAGCCATAGCCTAAACCCAACAGGAAGTCGGCCATTTTGAATTTTACGTCAAATTTTGGATGATTTACACACTTCGTACTTTAACGAACTCCTCCTAGGGATTTAGTCCGACTAACCTCAAATTTGTGCTGTGCCTTCTAAAGGCATTGAAGATGAAAAGTTGTGCTATTTGCAAGTTTTCGTCAATGGGCGTGTCCGTGGCGTGGCGTCAAAGATCAACTCTTCGCCATGACACGGACGTTGTCGTAACTTCAGTGTACATGCTCACATCTGGACCAAACTGTACATGTAGGATGAGAGTCCCGCCCTGAACACATGTACATGCTGACATTCACCCACAGTCATAGCGCCACCTGCTGGCAACAGGAAGTGACTTTTAACGAAGCAGCCCCCGCCGCACGTTTCACCTACGTGCACGAATTTTCTGTGGTACGTGTATCTTGTCCAGACGCACAAAAAAGTCTCTTGGAGCCATAGCCTAAACAACAGGAAGTCGGCCATTTTGAATTTTACGTCAAATTTTGGATGATTTACACACTTCGTACTTTAACGAACTCCTCCTAGGGATTTAGTCCGACCGACTTCAAATTTGTGCTGTGCCTTCTAAAGGCATTGAAGATGAAAAGTTGTGCTATTTGCGAGTTTTCGTCAATGGGTGTGTCCGTGGCGTGGCGTCAGAGATCAAGTCTTCGCCATGACACAGGAAGTTGTTGTAACTTCAGTGTACATGCTCACATCTTAACCAAACTTTACGTGCTTGATAACTCTCCCACCCCGTTATGGAGGACCGATCCTGACACAGCCAGAAATAAATACAGAAATAAATAAATGCTCAATAAATAAATAAGCATCCAATTAAATACACAAAAAAAAAGTAAATAAATAAATGTAGGTAGTAATTAAATTATACAAGGAGACATAAATGTTATATTTTAATTAGTGCCTTTACTTATTCACCTTTGTTATAATTACCTTATTTGTTTATTCAACTTTATTTATTACTAATTTTTTTAATGTATTTATTTATGTGTGTTTTAATATTTTTGTCTGTTTTATTCTTCCTTTGTATTTATTTACCTTATTTATTTTCACCCATGGTATTTATTTCTGCCTGTCTTTTAAATTTTTGTATGCATTTCTGCCTCATTATGCAAATGAGGAGGGGCTGTGTCTCAAGGGGTCATCTTCTCTGCTATTGGTGGACCAGTCAGACAGGAGAGCTCCTACTCTGCCTGCAGACATCAACGATCTTGCCCCTCACACAGTCAGATGACTTCCTTCAGTGCGCTGAGGTGTTTAACAACTCTGAAGACAATACTACCAGCAATGTATTCCTTCTCTTTTCACGTAGACGCTCCGACAGACAGTGCTTTCAGTTTGCTGCATGCATGGACACAGAACTGCGGTATAGGGAGAAGCACACGGTCAGCTGGCTGCAGCTAAATCTGGAGTGCACTCGTATTCAATTCTGTATGGTAAATTCAGTTTTAACGGAGCAGAGCGAGCTGACAGGCAGAGTTAGAGACTTTTTCTGTCTGTTTCTCTCTTTACAAAGACGCATGTTGCAGTCAGAGTCTTCTCTGAGATGCGAGCACGACATACAACACAATTTATCAAATTACACAACGGATATACAGTATGAAAATAATATTGATTGGATTATACTCACAGGAAGTATAAAACCTGTTACATGGGTCTATTAAAAGTAAAGTAACACAAAAATGTCAGGGAAATTACTTTACTTAGATTTAAGTATTGCAGTTGTACATTTGAAATACCTTCCTACCTTTCTGATAGGAAGCCTTCTTGAGGTGGTATAAAACATTTCTTCTTATATTCTGATTTGAGTTGTGGACAACTATGACCACATGAATTAAAAAAACATTTCACTGCCCAAGTCAGCTATAACACAAGTCTTGTTCATCAGACTACATGCTGTACAGTATTTGTGGACAGATTTTGTCCCAGGATTTATTATGCATTTCTTCTTCTTCGTTGCATGATTTAGAATAATAAGGGAGAAATGGGTCTATTCTGAGTTCATCCTGCACTGCAGCAGCTAATAAAGTCCATTTAATCCCAAAAACGCTTTTCTTTTAGGCAGGCTGGAGCAGAAAACAACTCACCTTTCTCAAGTTGTACAGTAATGTCACATGTGTATGAAGGTGGATCAAACAAGCTAATCTTAAATGTCAAAGTAGAGAGGAGCCTAGTAGGCCTATTTATTTTCATTCATTACACAATATGAATAAGCTATGCAGACAGTTGTAAAGAAAGAACATCTTTTTCTTCTGTTCTCTACTTGTTATAGTTACACAGTATTAGGGGTGTGGGCTGTATTAAAAGTATCCACTGTTCTCCCATGCTCTAACACACAGTAACGATGAAATGTGTGCTGTTCTCACATTCTTCCTCTGTATGTACACATAAACAACAAGGCAGGGAAATATAAAAGGAATTTATTTTATTGTTTGGGTACATTATTGTTCAGTGTACATGCTCACATCTGAAACAAACTTTACGTGCTTGATAACTCTCCCACCCCGCAGACATCTACACGCCAATACCGATTTATATTCATAGCGGCAAGTGCTATGTAGCTCCACATAGGGGACACAGGAAGTGACATATAACACCTTCATGCGGCGTCGGAGCCGCGTAGGAAATTCACAGCCGCACCGGCAGAGCTCCAGAATATGCAACTCGGCCGGTTCACGCGCGGACGCGCTACAAGTGCGAGGGCCCGCCCAACGCTGCTTGCAGCTTTAATTATTTACTTTATTTTTGTGTGTATTTAATTGGATGCTTATTTATTTATTGAGCATTTATTTATTTCTGCCTGTGTCAGGATCGGTCCTCCATAGAAGCGTGCTGAGACGACCATTGTGTTGCTAAAGCGTTTAGCCCACAATGGCCACACACAAGGCTGTCTGTCTGTCTCTAACTGCAACTGGACAGAATAACTTCTCTGGGAATGTGATCACGATGAGAGTAAAGCTCTCTCTCCCAATGCATACAAGCCAAAACCAATCACCATAAAGAGGTGATGATGATTTTATGGACAAGGGATCCCATTACTGACAAAGACTGAACAGAGAGAGAAAGCTTTCTCCCATGATTCATGGTGAACTAACAGTGCACTTGACTGACTTGAACTGACGAAGCTGAGCTGACAGAGCCTCACTGACTGACATGGCTCTCTATAGTCTACCTGTACTCGGGGACGACAAAGACCTGACCTACGTTTTCACTTGACTTGACCGAAGGACGATCACATGACCTGTTCTGACACTACATCTTGGAAGCAAACCAGATGCCTGGTGCTTATTGTCGTGTTGCTTGCTGTGTCTGTTGCTGTATGTTATGCTGGATGTTTCTTTGTGAGCTGCTGCCGTGTTGATGATAAAATGTGATGCACGCTAACAGACTGACCCCATTTCTACAGGAAAAGAATGCCGCCTGCTCGTTCCTTGTTGTTTGATGTTATTGTTTAAATCCCTTTTTTTAAAACATGGTCCAGAGTTTTGCCCATAATAATAATAATAATAATAATCCTTATTTGTAGAGCACTTTTCAAAAACAAGTTTCAAAGTGATTTAACAAGTGTAAAGAATAATACAAAAAAACAATATAAGAGCATGAAAAATTAATATAAAATTAGTAAAATACACATAATATAAAAGGGATAAAATAAAGTCAGATAAGATGGGGAAAAGCTCTCCTATAAAAGTATAAAAGCCCATGCGCTCTCCTCCACAGAGAAAAGGGGCAACTGAATGCAAAACTATGGAACGTGATGAGAACAAGTCTGTGTGTGAGGTGTGTTATCAGACAGCCTGGAAGCTCAGAGGCTGGATTACTGGCTCCATTTGCAGCACGTCCACCACCAGAAGAACCATGTGACCACCTGATGAGGGAGGTCTTTAGCTAAACCCAAGCAAAGTCAATACGTGCTGTTGATGATAGTTGATATGTTTCCAAAATGGATAGAAGAAGATAAGAAAAGCCCTGGTTTGTGAAATCTTGCCATGCTGGGGTGTGCCTTCAAAAATAGACAGTGACAACAGAACACCTTTAGGAAGTGAAGCCATGACAACAACTTGGCTCTTATATGGGCACTGATTTGAGACAACATTGTTCCTACCACCCAGCAATCGGTGGCGCAGTAGAGAAACAGAATGCTGAAGGTTAAGCTAGCTAAGTATCGTGAAGACACAGGTCTTCCATGAACAGAGGTGTTGCCGGTGGTGTTGATGAGAACCAGGATAAGAACCAGGTATGATTCTTTTAGGGTGCCCTCCACTAACAGGGACAGAGGCAGCGAGCAGAGTACCGCCTGACACACATCACTGTGAGAATGATTGAATGTTAAAGTATTGCCAGACTTTGTCCTCTGCTCTGTCCGTCTACATCAGCAGGTTAAAGAGGCCCTACCCTCTCCAGCGACAGAACCACTGCACAGTCTCCTGCCAGGAGATTCTGTGGTGGTTAAGGACTTCAGAAGAAAAGCACTGGAAGGCGCAGAGGTGGAAAGGTGCTCCTGACAACATACACAGCGGTAAAAGTGGCGGAAAGAACTACGTGGATTCCCGCCAGCCACTGCAGGAAGGTGCCTGCACCAGTACAACAACAGATCAACAAGCGTGCACAATCAGCACCTTGTGTTGTGAGTGAAGGAGGGATTGGGAACGCTTAGGCCCCCTTTGTCTCGGACTCACAGGCTGTTAGACAGCAAACATCAACACAAGGGAGCTAGTGGGAAAACTCCTGGTCTCACCACTGCTGAGAGTGAGTAGCATGGTTGTCTCTGGAAGGAGACGTCATGGGACCCAGTGAGACACCCAAATATGTGTGGCCTACGAGGATCAACACTGATGTTTGCTGCCATTGCAACAGCATGAACAGTGCCTCTGTTGCCGTTCTTGCATCACAAGCATGATGCACAAAAGCCACCACAACAGAACACCACAGTGAACTACAGGCATTGACATCAAATAGCAGTGTTAGAGGCAAGAGAAGCACCAGAAGAGGCTGGGCTGCTGGGCTAATGTTTAATAACTCCTGTTGTATGTTTGTGCCCAACAATACAGCTCCAGATGGTTCGGTGAACTGAGTGCTGGAAGGACTGCGTTCCCTACGAGAAGAACTTGCAGAGAACTCTGAAGTAGACACTAACACGTTCGACCGGTCTGATTCTGTATTTGCTAAATAAAAGGCCTCAGTGATGCCCATGCTAGCAGGTCTAATGATTGCTGTAGCTCTCTGTGGATGCTGCATTATTCCATGTGCCAGAGGTCTGATTGTAGGAGCTATTGAGAAATGTGTCTCCATTCAAATGATCACACTCCATGAACAAGAATAACATGCCACTGTGATGACAGGAAGGACCCAGATTCTTTTTCTCTGTTAAACTGCTGTAGATCACATCATGATGACTTTCTATGACCTGATGATCTTTTTGTAATGTTGTATATACTTGAGTGATCAAAGAATGATCACAAGAGAGGAGTATGTGATGGAAATGTGATATTTTACTGTGTTACTGTTTCACCCTGCATGCTTCATCAGAATAGACCAGTGTTTCACTGTGTGGTGTTTTATTATTTTATTATGTTACAGCTGGGAAAGATGCTCATTAGAGAGTTTTCTTATCAGACTGTCCTTGATAGGCCTTCATCTCAGGACAGCTGGTCCCTACTCCCTTCCTCCTTTTGATAGCTGCATAATACCCTTACATTATAAAGTCACCTGCTTCTTCACAGGCTCTTTGTTACACTCTGCAGACTGTTTGGACATATTTCCATTTTAAGGGGTACTATCTGCAATGGAAAACGGGGCACGGCCAAACCGAGCCAAGCTGGTACTGGTAATGGAAAAACGCCAAAAGACACCAGAGACAAAATAAAAACATGAAACAACAACTCAGTGATTCAAACTGGACTCAGCACAACTCCAACATCAGTTCATCATTAACAACAGAACACGTCTTTATACATCTGGGGCTTACCTGAGCAGGTGAGATCCAGGATGGAGGAAGAGGAAGATGATGATACACAGTCCCTCAGAGCAGATCCAGACTGAACACAGACAAAGCTGATCCCCCACACAGGTCTGAATACAAACTTCTTTCTCTGTCCTACAGAAACAGCAGAGCCACAGTCCAGATCTCTACAGACAACAGCTGCTGCCTTCAGGGTCCAGACAGAGTCACTCCCTGGTCTCCAGTCTCCCTGATGTTTCACCTCCAGTGTTCCTGCACAGCGACTGGCTCCTCCCACCAACCTGACAGGCTCTGAACAGAAACCAGAGAGTCATCAGTAAAACAATAAAGTGAGTTTCATCAGAACAGAAATGAAGCAAATCAAAGCTGCAGCTCCTCTTCTACCTGAGCAGGTGAGTCCAACAGCTTTTCCAGGTGAGCAGGTGTTTCTAGCTGAGCCTGAGCTTCTACAGTCCAGGAGAGCAGACTCATGGCCTCCACACTGGAACTCTTTGGTCCACATCGGAGCCTCCACTTCTCCATAGAGCGCCCCCTGGAGGACTGAAGGAGCCCCACAGCCGAGCTCCCTACAGACCACCTCTGCATCCTGCTGGTCAAAGTCAGCTTCACACACTGAGGACCACCTCTGGTTAGACTGGTTAGACTGGTTAGACTTCACCTCCAGTCTGCCTGAGCACAGACTAGTCCCGTCCAGCAGCCTGACAGAGTCTGGAGAGATAATAGAAGATGAAGTAGAGATAAAGACACCACACTGATTTACGTGTAATTAGACTTTTGAGTTACCTGTTAAAACTGGTTGAAACATGGGACCTACAGTAGAACTGTTCCTTTTCCCTGCTTACACCAAGAGTGTTTGTGCACATTTACCTCCATTAATGCACTTAAGGTCCACTTGTCAAAGATTCACCAGAAATCTCAGGATACACAAATGTGACAAAGTGCCCAAGTAACATTTCTCTGTCAGCTGTGATTTTTCTGCTCCCTGCACAGAAGCAGTTTTTTTCACGCAGTACACATTTAAAAGTTAATCACAGAGTCCAGTGTCCATATAAAGGATGTAAATTTCATACTAATGTATAGTCCACATCTAATGCACATAGAAGCAAAGAGCACAGAACAGACAGCTGGAGGGTGTTTAAGCCAGAGGTAGTCTCAGTAGTGTAACTAATGAAATGGCCCAATAACAACATGTGCCTCCAGATGACGCCCCTGATTTAGAAGACCGTGAGGATTCCAGCAGTGAAGAGCTTCATGATCAGGGGAAACAGCTGGAGCACAATCTAGCTTCTCTTTTTTTGAAGATGCAAACCATCCTACACACTCCAGAAAGTTGTGTGCAAGAGGTCAAACAACAACTCATCCAGATCTGTGAACTTTCCCAGCCACTGCTGCATAATTCAGTCAGGGACGTTCTTAAAAACACACAGATGTAGACGATTCAACTGTGAGACATTTGGTCAGGGCTGCCACAGAGAGAAATGTAATAAGATTTTGTGGCACCTTATCAACCACTAAAAGAAGATCAGCTCATGTGAACAAACCTTTTAAATGCCCGTCAAGTATATTATTGAGAGAGGAAAAAAATCAAGTGTTGTATATATTCCTCTAAATGCAATGCTACAGCAAAAGTTGAACAGGCAGACATTTTAGACAAAGCTCTTCCAGTAGAAAAGCATGAGCCTCATGAGTACAGAACATACAGAGATGGTTCATGGTGGAGAAGAGTTCAGAACTGCTGTTGATGATTTTGAGGTCCGTTGGGAACCTCTAACAAGAAGCACAAAATGAGTGCAGCGTATTGGGTGATAGCTAATGTAGCATCAAACTATAGGTCCACACTCCACTCAGCCTCTGATCTAAAAGAATATGGCTATGCTAAAATTCTCCATCCGCTCATCCAAGATCTGCTTTCTTTGGAGCAACACGGTGTTTATGTTGAGAAGCTGGGAGCATGTATTAAAGGCACAGTGTTGTATGTGGCTGCTGATAACTTGGCTGCTCATTCTCTCACAGGATTCTTTGAAAGCTTTGCAGTGGACAGGTTCTGCAGGTTCTGCATGGCAAAGAGAAGCCAGATCCAAGAAAAGGAGGTATGTTCAGGCCCCTTTGAACCCTGAACTAAAGACACTCAGAACAGGACGTTAGTAAATCTGGCCCATTGTGTTACAGAGTGTTACTTTGCAATGTTTGATCTAAATTAATTACATGGAAACACTGAAATGTATAAATGTAAAGATTAGATCATTTCTTCCCTTCCAGCTGGTTAAAACAAATTTATTTAAATACAATAATCTCAAAGTCAACATATAATAAATAAATAAAAGAAAAGAAACAACATTATTTATATGAACAGATTATTTTAAGCTGTGATGATGAATGTTTTGCTTTATATTTGTTATATATTTCTTTGCATGTGTAACTTAAAATCCTTAGTTTAGACAACATGACTTCAGGATAAAAATGATTTCTGTTCACTAATGATTGTGAGTAATGACTACTAAAGCAAACTTGATTTGTCTACTGCATCAACTTAAGCTTCTGTGTTAATACAACTTAACCATTAAGTTTTACCTTGTGTAAAAACTGAAATGGTTTAAGGCAACGGGTTTCCACGTGAATATCTAGTAAAGTCAACTCATTTGGGATTAGAGTGAAACAAAATAAAAACATGTCATGAAACAACAACTCAGTGATTCAAACTGGACTCAGCACAACTCCAAAATCAGTTCATCATTAACAACAGAACACGTCTTTATACATCTGGGGCTTACCTGAGCAGGTGAGATCCAGGATGGAGGAAGAGGAATATGATGATGCACACTCCCTCAGAGCAGATCCAGACTGAACACAGTCAGACCAGATCCACCACACAGGTCTGTCTGAGGACTCCTCTCTCTGTCCTACAGAAACAGCAGAGCCACAGTCCAGATCTCTACAGACAACAGCTGCTGCCTTCAGGTTCCAGTCAGAGTAACTCCCTGGTCTCCAGTCTCCCTGATGTTTCACCTCCAGTGTTCCTGCACAGCGACTGGCTCCTCCCACCAACCTGACAGGCTCTGAACAGAAACCAGAGAGTCATCAGTAAAACAAGTGAGTTTCATCAGAAGAGAAATGAAGCAAATCAAAGCTGCAGCTCCTCTTCTACCTGAGCAGGTGAGTCCAACAGCTTTTCCAGGTGAGCAGGTGTTTCTAGCTGAGCCTGAGCTTCTACAGTCCAGGAGAGCAGACTCATGGCCTCCACACTGGAACTCTTTGGTCCACATCGGAGCCTCCACTTCTCCATAGAGCGCCCCCTGGAGGACTGAAGGAGCCCCACAGCCGAGCTCCCTACAGACCACCTCTGCATCCTGCTGGTCAAAGTCAGCTTCACACACTGAGGACCACCTCTGGTTAGACTGGTTAGACTTCACCTCCAGTCTGCCTGAGCACAGACTAGTCCCGTCCAGCAGCCTGACAGAGTCTGGAGAGATAATAGAAGATGAAGTAGAGATAAAGACAAAATAAAAACATGTCATGAAACAACAATTCAGTGATTCAAACTGGACTCAGCACAACTCCAACATCAGTTCATCATTAACAACAGAACACGTCTTTATACATCTGGGGCTTACCTGAGCAGGTGAGATCCAGGATGGAGGAAGAGGAATATGATGATGCACACTCCCTCAGAGCAGATCCAGACTGAACACAGTCAGACCAGATCCTCCACACAGGTCTGTCTGAGGACTCCTTTCTCTGTCCTACAGAAACAGCAGAGCCACAGTCCAGATCTCTACAGACAACAGCTGCTGCCTTCAGGGTCCAGTCAGGGTCACTCCCTGGTCTCCAGTCTCCCTGATGTTTCACCTCCAGTGTTCCTGCACAGCGACTGGCTCCTCCCACCAACCTGACAGGCTCTGAACAGAAACCAGAGAGTCATCAGTAAAACAATAAAGTGAGTTTCATCAGAAGAGAAATGAAGCAAATCAAAGCTGCAGCTCCTCTTCTACCTGAGCAGGTGAGTCCAACAGCTTTTCCAGGTGAGCAGGTGTTTCTAGCTGAGCCTGAGCTTCTACAGTCCAGGAGAGCAGACTCATGGCCTCCACACTGGAACTCTTTGGTCCACATCGGAGCCTCCACTTCTCCATAGAGCGCCCCCTGGAGGACTGAAGGAGCCCCACAGCCGAGCTCCCTACAGACCACCTCTGCATCCTGCTGGTCAAAGTCAGCTTCACACACTGAGGACCACCTCTGGTTAGACTGGTTAGACTGGTTAGACTTCACCTCCAGTCTGCCTGAGCACAGACTAGTCCCGTCCAGCAGCCTGACAGAGTCTGGAGAGATAATAGAAGATGAAGTAGAGATAAAGACACCAGAGACAAAATAAAAACATGTCATGAAACAACAATTCAGTGATTCAAACTGGACTCAGCACAACTCCAACATCAGTTCATCATTAACAACAGAACACGTCTTTCTAACAGCACAGACATTTACATTTAATACTCTGTCACACTTGTTCTCCACGTCTGAACACTTTCAACATGTTTCCAAACAGCAGCACAACATCATCATCTGCAAGATCACTTTAAAATATAACTTTGCTGCCTGTGCCTTTTATTATGGACATGTAGCCAACCAAACCGCTTGCTTTGCAGTAGCACAGGCTGCCAAAACAATCTGATTATTCCTGAAGCATCTAAACAATCTTCACACCACAGATAATTATTGTGGCAGTAACACGAGAGCAGCTGGTTGTTGAAGCAGGTAAACTACATACAGAGGAAGCTGTGCGTCGTGCGTAAAGCCCAACAGGACTGTTTTATTATCTCTCTCTGTGCATCTGAAAAATAAATAACAGCTGGTAGCTGCTGAGTGAAAGTCAGTTTCACCAGCGACTTTCTGTTGATGGACTCACCGTCGGACATCGCGATGAAACAAATAGTAACCGATGTGTATTAAAGAAAAGAAACAGGCTAATGTCCAAAGCGATGCTCTGTTCAACAACAGGACACTTTTAATATATCAGAATCAATGCAGTGATCGTCTGACAAAGATCTTACAGTGTGTAGTCTTCATTTGCTCTGCAGAGACTAAAGACGCTTTTAATAGAAAGTGAAAGTGTTTCACTTGCCGGCTTGTTAAAGAGCGACGCAGGCTGCTTTCCAACAGACCAGCAGGTCCACGGTGTGGCTCACTACATTTCAGTTGTATTAGTAGAACATAAAAAGATATTTGGCTGATTTTCTAAAGGTTTGCATCCGCCCAGCTCTGTGACCGTGACAAGCGCCCGACCAGCGCTTTACTGCGTGACTGCACACACACAGCCTGGAGGAGCTCATTTCTGTTAATGAAGCAAAATGCAGATTACAGACTGGAGAAGTTATAAAAGGTGTGAATGGAAGATGTAGCGAAATTAAGAGTAGGCCTACATTAGATGTACCCACCCCTGCTGCAGACATCATCACTGCTGCCTTCAGCTAGAAGGAACAGCAGCACAAAGAAAAGTCTGTAATACTGAGGAACTTTGCTGCTCCGGCCTCCAGCAACTTGGTTTTTCCTCCCTCAACATTTCTACAGGCTACATTCTGTCCGCGACTGATGTGGACTGTGAGTGATTGACTGGTCTCTTAGTAAACTGCCTCCTATATGAGCCAGCTCCAAAATCGTTGTCTTTTGTTCTTCTGAGATCGGAGGCTTTTCAAAAAACATCCGGGCTAACGACGCCGCTGGTGGAGAGTATAGTTAGGCCTACTAGAGAGGAGCTGGTGCAGAGCGGAGCGGGTCGTGGAGCGGTTAGGGTCAGACAGCAGTGTGGAGCTGTAGGCTCGTGTTTACTCCCTCAGAGGAGGGAGGGTGTTAAAGTGTTTCCCTAATTTAAGTGTTCACTCTCGTGTTTTCAGTATTATTTCATTGTTAAAAAAACTTTTATTTTGGTTGCACAGAATCTGTGGAGTATAAATGATCTCTATTAGTATAATATTCTAACTGTAGGAGCCATTTATGTTTATTGTTGGCGTGATATTTTATTTTTCTTTGGATATATTTATATTAGTATTTTGGACACTGGGTGGCAGTGATTAGATGCACGTGGTTGTATATAGAGGGCATAGGTGACAGGAAGTGGTAGGCACAGGTAGGGGGAGCACAAACAGTTCTGGCCAGACCACAGAGTCAGAATACACGCAAACAACTGGAAACAAGATAAGAAATCAACCGCTATGTTCATCTGTTTGTACTATTTACTGCTGCAATAAACCACAAACCTCATCTGCAATAATCTCTCTGGAAAATCATCTTGTGTGTCTGCTTAAAAACTTCCCTCCTACCTGTGCATGATGGCAAAGAGACTGGAAACAAAGCTAAAGGTAAAGCAAGGAAAAATTGCTATCATACTAACATTAAATTAAAACTGATTTCATAGCCAGGCCTACTGTTAGCAGTGTTGGGCAGGAACTGTAATAATATTACTTTCTCATTTTACATTTACTCTTTTTCCAGATAACTATTTACAAAACAGTAATATTATTGCAGTTACTAATCCAAGTAACGCTGCAGTACTGACTTACTGAACGCATCATCCTTGGCATAAATACGCGTCTGGGCGGCAGGTCAGCTGCACTGGACCTGATGTTATTCAAGTCAGCTGTTAGCCAACAAGCTAAAGTAAAGTAGAAGGAAGAATGGAGAACGAGGGAGAGAGACGTTCTTTCAACAACTGTAATTATTGCCATAATTATAATTATTGCCATTTTGTTTTGGCCACCAGTCTAAAAACAGTGGAGGATCTAGTATGTAGTACAACATTATTACATCAAATAAGAAGTGTAATGTTCATTTAATAGTACTGTTTAGTTGTAGTATATTGATTACTGTATTCATGATAATTTCATATAATATTATACTTTTTACAGTTTTTTAACGACGCTGAAGTTAGCTTCCAATTCGCAGCTTCCGATTCTGCAGTTAAGGGGAAAGTTAAGGAGAACTTAAGTGAAAGTTAACGTTGCTGAGCGACCAAATCTCCGTTTTTTGCACCTCTTACTGCTGTGAAAGCTGTTGTGCATTTTAGGCAAAGCCTTAACGCTGTCTGAAACACTTTTTTAGATTTGAAATAACTTTATTTTATTTGTGTAAATGACAAAAGGGTGATTTCACTGCTTTTTCTCCACATGCAGACCACATTAGACCAGGTCCAGATCCAAAACCACTATACCTAGAGCTCTCAAATCTGGACTAGATTGTCCAAAGAGGCTAAAGTTTCAATCAAACATAGTTTCCTTTTTCAATTTGTGAAAATACTTTAAAGGACGATTTATCTGGTGTTTTCACATGTAGACCACATTAGACCAGGTCCAGATTAATGGTCTGATTGGTTCTCATGTCTGAATTTGCAGCGCCACCATCTGCCTCTCAAGCTGTCTTTGAAAATGGCTAACAGTTGAAAACATTCATTAGAAATTTAGAAAGGTTATCAGATGTGATAAATGACTTTGATGGAGTAATTGAAATAGTTAACCTAGACTACTGTTACATTTGAAATAGGGTAACTTGTAATCGGTAACCTATTACATTTCCACAGTAACCTTCCCAACACTGCCCACTGTTACAGCAGTTTAATTTTTGTGGAATGTTTCCATTTAGAAAATCCATGCAAGAAACACAGTCTACATTGGTCTCTAATTTATTAATGCAGTAAATACTTGTCAATAATCAGAACCATTCATGCAGAACAGTTATGGTACTTTATAGTCTTTACTCGTAAATCATTTTTCCTCTTTACATGAATCTATTTTTATGGATAAATGCGAGTGAAATACTCTGTAGAGCCCTGCATCATCCATCCTGGCAACTGCTCCCCTCGTGCTGCTGTTCTTCTTGTTTTATTGGCGGGTGCCGTTGACTTCCTGTCTCTGTTACAGCTGATGTTCTAACGTTACATACTGCAACTGGCTTTACCGGAGGGGAACGTAGCAAACATTTCAAATACGCCCAGCGGTATTTTTAGAAAGGTTAAAATTACAGCAGAATAAAGGGAGGGTTGACAGGTGTGTTCATGCTGCTACCAGGGATGTACTGATGCTGAAATTCAGCCCTGGACTCTGAGATGGAGCGGACTTTTCTGTGAGTTTGCAGTTATTTTAATACTAATAGCCAGTGAGTCACACTAAGCAGGGAAATGTCTTGATATTGTTGCTGCTGGTCCAGGACAGCGTTGTTGCAAGCATGTGGTGTAAATCCTGCATGATGGAGGACGTGTACAGGTGTTGATATTGTTCTTCAGACTGTGATCATAGGCTGTAACCTGTCAGCATAAATCCTGTATAAGCTAAAGATGTTTCCAACAAATAATACCCTGGAATTCAAAACCTTAATTGTGCTCATGTGTGTGTGGGGGGGGCCAACAAGACAAATTGTCCAGGGGCCTCTGACTTCTTAATCCGGACCTGACCTCGGTACATTACTGTCATAGATGATGTCACTGATGGGCTTACCTGAGCAGGTGAGATCCAGGATGGAGAGAGAGGAATCAGATGATGCACACTCCCTCAGAACAGATCCAGACTGAACACAGTCAGACCTGATCCACCACACAGGTCTGAATAAGGACTCCTGTCTCTGTCCAACAGAAACAGCAGAGCCACAGTCCAGATCTCTACAGACAACAGTTGCTGTCTTCAGGGTCCAGACAGAGCCACTCCCTGGTCTCCAGTCTCCCTGATTTTTCACCTCCAGTGTTCCTGCACAGCGACTGGCTCCTCCCACCAACCTGACATCATCAGGCTCTGAACAGAAACCAGAGAGTCATCAGTAAAGAAGTGAATTCTAGAGACTAAACTGATTCTGCTTCTGTGATTCTTTCTTTCTCTTTTCTTTCTCTCTTTACCTGTTGAGGTGTGTCGTCCTTCAGCCTGGAGTCCTGTGATTGGAGCACAGCCGTGGACAGAAAGAACAATCAGGTTGTTTTGTAAAGAACTTTCTATCAGCTCAGAAACATCTCAGTGAACTCCCTCTGGACTCATTTTACCAGTTTACTGTAGGTGAGATCAGTGGTGGAAAGTAACAAAGTACAAATACTTACTGTACTTAAGTAGTTTATTTCGGTATCTGTACTTTACTTGAGTATTTTAAGTTGTTGCAACTTTTTACTTTCACTTCACTACATTTCAAAACCAAATGTCACATATTACATTCTGCACCAGACCTCGTTACATTGGTATTAGTCGCCTGTGCAGCACCTGAGTGGAGCAGCACTGAAAAACAAAACTGATAAAGCCGACTCAGCGCGAATCAACTTCAGCCAGCTGATGCGACACGACATACGCAGTGACAGTCCAGCACAGAGCTGGACGGCCCCGCCTCACTTTCCTGTCAAAGGTGAACGTGAATGTTTGATGAGAGGATGAAGAGGGACTGTCCTTCTAGGCACGAGGAGAGAAAAAACTAAATGACACTCAGCCTAATGTGCAGCTGCAGTGAATCTGTCTGTCTGTCTGTCCTGCTAAGCAGCTGAGCAGCGCTGGTTTAAATTAAACTCACGCATTCAGCAAGAAACATCTGTGGACCAGTCCAGACAGGATGTGAGGGCACTCCTCATACATCATTTAAAAACAAGACAGTGAAGTTTAGTTACAACTCTGGACTGATGCATGATGGGAAGCAGTGGATTCACACTGACTATTAAAATGTTGATTAGCTGGACAGACTGGGCAATATGGATGCACATGTCAGTAAATAATAAGCAGCACATATTCAGCCCAGTCATTTTATAAATATTATATATCTGAAAAGCCAGTTTGAATGGGCCTGATGCAGCGGATAATATTAATATATAGAAAATATCTAGAATTTACAGGGGCTGTGGTGCCGTTTGTCAGATTAGATGCTGGATCATCAGCCAGTACGAGCACAGCCAGAGATGTGCAGCCAGCATCAGATACAAGCAGCTCAGACTCTAATGGAACAGTTGCTGCTCCACCAAATGAGCCAGCAGATTGGCCCCCAGTCTTATCTGACTTCATGAGGTCTGAGTTAGAGCGCAGAGGTCTGTTCAAACCAGCACTGGACTTTTCTAGAAGAGCTTTCTATTCAGGCTTCTTACAGAGGGAGGATTGTAGTTGCGTGTTTCGGAAGTTTATGTCACATATAACTCGTCACAGCGGACAGTTAGAGCTCACTGGGTTTTCTTAATGATCAAAAAATACCACAGAGCTTCCTGCTGCTCTCACATCCAGTTTGTTTCACCACCGTCACACAGAAATCAGGCTGCAGCACAAACACAAATGAATTAATGAAGTCATTTTGTTGTTGAAGTGCATGAGCATAGGTTTAGCTTCAGCACTGGGGGGGAATTTTTCTGCACCAGTTTCTGGCTTCTTTTCTGCATCTATTGATGGTGAAAATGTCATTTATTTAAACCCAAACACCAAAAACCTGAATGTAAATAACTGCCACATTGTTTTTTCTGTTATTCTTTTATAGCTGGATCCAGCGGTCGCGTTATGCTGATTGTTTAAAGCTGGCTGTCACGAGCTACAGCTACGGATTTTATAGATATAAGCAGAACATCAAAAGAAGGATAAATGCCCAGGAGGTTCTGGCAAAGACACGAGTGAGGGAGAAGCTGATGGGGGAGAGATAACTACTACTACATGTTCTTCTTCACTCGGCCTAATACAATGATTTAAATGTGTTCATTATGTTGTTGTTAGTTTGTTGTAGCCTACAGTTTAGGCTACTGATTCATTTAAAATGTAGGCTATTTGACTTTCTTTGATCTGTAATGAAATGAAGCAATAACCCAGAACTGCCACACTGCTGCTCTCATCACTCAGTTAAAGTGCTCTCACACAGCTCAGGGCTTCATTTTGTTTTCCCTTTGACGTGAACTTAACATTCGAACCTCAAAATTAAAAATCGAACGTACCAAACGATCGAATATTTGAATATTGGGGTCCAGCCCTACTGAACACCTGACACTTCATCAGCATGATACAAAACCTGCGTGAGATTGGAAATGTGTTTTCTTCTGACTGGAACATTAAAATGAGCGCACTAGTGTAAGAAGGTATTTGATATACCTGAAACCTGGATAAAGTACATGTTGCTGCTAATACTGCAGTCCTTGATATTAGTGCATGCAGCCACGTTACTTCTGAATTACAGGTACAACTTTACTTATTCCCAATAAAAGTGCCCACGATTATTTTAGTAATATAGAGAAATGATTAAATATTGATAACATTAAAGTTCAATAATCCATTTGTTAAAGAAACTCTCCTCAGCTGAAAGAGTGGGGACAGACAGACTGAACTCTAAACTGGACTGGTAACCAGTGAAGTGATGGTGAAACAGCTGTGATGTGCGCTCTTTTGTTCATGTGAGTTAGAAGCCTTGCAGCAGAGTTCTGAACAGCCTTAAGAGACGGTGAAGCTCCTTCTTATTCAAACAAGTGAAAAGACAGTTACAGTGATCTAAAGGAGACCAAATAAAAGCATGAATGATCCTCTCAAATTCAACCTCTGACACCAGAGCTCTTAGTTTGGATGTACAGTGTTTCTCAGTTGGAAGAAGCAGTTTCTAATTAGAGAGTCCAAAAAACTCTTTTTGTGAGCAGTTTGTTCTGTGAGAGGCCGTTTAGGGGGAAAATACTGAAAATGTTCACACTTCATAAACTGGGTCAGATAAGGTCTTAGTGCCTTAAATGTAGCTGTACGTCAGCTCTTTGACAGGAAGAAACATTTTTAATCAGTGAGTTTATCATCAGCAACGATCTTATATCCTGTTTTTAGCTGAGACTTGGTTAGACCCAGATACTTCAGCTTTATGAGTGAAGCTAGCGAGCATCAGAAAGGACGGGGAGCTGCCATTTAGTTTCCTGTTCTTTTGAATATGTGGCTCTTCAGCTGAATTCCTCTCCTCCAGCTAGATCTCTAAATATCTCCAGGCCACCTAAATACTGTGCAGGTCTTTCAGTGTTTTCACCCTGAACAGCCTTTCATACTGGTTTTCTCCCTGATCCAGTAAAGAGATCTGAATTCTAACACGTGCTGTTTAAAGTCCTACCTGAGCTCCACAGCAGCAGCAGCAGCAGCAGCAGCAACAGGTGATCCATGTCCAGGTAGACCGTCTCTCTGGCCGTCTGCCTGCTCTCTGCTCTGATCATCACGTGCTGTCCTCAGTGTAGATCTGTGTACAGGAAGAGGTGGAGCTTTACTGGAACACAGCTCATTCAGCTGGCTTTAGTTTCACAGGGAGGAGAGTCCTCGTCTGACTGAGTCTCTGTCACAGGAGACAGTGAGACCAGAACACAGACAGTGAGACCAGACCAGAACACAGACAATGAGACCAGACCAGAACACCAGGACAGACCAGAACACAGACAGTGAGACCAGAACACGAGGGCAGACCAGAACACAGACAGTGAGACCAGAACACAGACAGTGAGACCAGAACACGAGGGCAGACCAGAACACAGACAGTGAGACCAGAACACAGACAGTGAGACCAGAACACAGACAGTGAGACCAGACCAGAACACAGACAGTGAGACCAGAACACAGACAGTGAGACCAGACCAGAACACAGACAGTGAGACCAGAACACAGACAGTGAGACCAGAACACAGACAGTGACACCAGACCAGAACACCAGGGCAGACCACTCACCTTGGCTCCTCCCATAAATGACTATGCAAATGAGCATAAACACGCCAGCGTCACCTGCTGAGGTCCAAATGACAACAGGTGAAAATAAGGAAACTTCACTGAGTGTGAGATCGAGGTGCTGATCACTGAAGTGGAGGAGAGGAGAAATGTTTCATTTGATGGTTTGAACTCTTTGATCAGCAACAAACGCAAAACGACGGAGTGGCGTTAGTGTTACAATAAGAGTCAGTGCAGCTCAGAGACTCATACTGGCTGAAATAAAGAAAACACGGTCTGACATAAAGTGGAGGTCAAAGAAGAGGAAGAGAGTTTTTCTGATTCAGCAATCGAGGCGCTTGTGAGGTGGAAGTTAGAAAGTAGCCTACAGATTGTTTGATGCAGCTGGTTCAGAAACAAAAGAAAATCCAGAGTTTTATATATTATTCTAAACAAAGAGTGTAGGTAGAAAGGTAAACATTATATATTGTTGATCCCATCAGACACACACCTGTCGGCTCCCGCTGCCAACAGCTGGCTGCCACAAACACTATTTGTATTTGTACGGGATGGCACGGTTCCGCCAGGTTGGTCTCTCTAATGCTGGACCCAGTTCAGCACACAGGTCCAAGAGCACGACTCTTGGGGATCTAAATCGAAGTATTAGCCAGTCATCATCATGGGCCAGGAAGTCTTCACGGACACTCTCTAATCCTTCCACTGGCGTTTTCCTCTGCAGAGCCAGAGCAGCCGTGCAGCACTACGCACGAGTGTCACGCAGTGTTTACAGCGGTCATACGGACTATGCTTCACACCTCACCAGAATGGTGGCTTCAGTCAGCGGTGAGAATGCAGATCTGCGTCTCAGTGCGCTCTGTGCGCCTGACAGTCTGTTCACTGCAGCGTGTTTACACACCAAAGCTAAATATGCACAGAGGATGTTATTAGAAACTACTGACGCTCTCTGCTGCAACTCTTTAATGCTGTTTGATGTTATCTCAGATTTTTATGATGATGACAATTCCATCAGTTAGCCGAGTCTGAAGAGGACTCAGGTGCTAAATTCACGTCTAACATCGGGGAAAGGCAGCCGGGATCCTGCCGCCTGACATCATCCTGGCTTTAGGCTGGCAGGTCCATAACTGACCATGAGTGTCCGTGACCACACTCAGGTCCTCTCTGCTGCGCTCCGGGGGCTGATGGAATATTTAGCGGACATTGATTTAAGATTTGCCACTAATTTGGCTTATTTTATTTCTTTTACACTTGAAAGGTGCAGTATGGAATAGTTCTGGCTCACTAGCAGCAGCACAAATAACACCGCTGGTTTGAATGTTTAGATGATAAAGTGATAACATGTGATATGAAGTGCAGTTAAATATGTCAGAGACGTCATGATCTATTCCTCTCACGTTCAATTTTATTTGATATTAAACCACTACAGACATGATCAGACTTTTGTTGTGTATTATTGTGACATAATTAGGTTTTTGATTGACATCTGCACAGTAACTGCAGTGGAAACACTATTTTGAAACGTTTGGTGAGTTTTGGCACTTTGGAGTTCACTGACAGAGCCAGACAAAAGTTGGTGGAGGGTCCGCACATTCTCACGTTCATCCCACGTGTGCGTGAAAACCAGCGTATGTAACCTTTTTGTGCGTAGGAAGCGTTTATACATGAGGCCCCAGAAGTCCAGGACGGACCAGAAGTTTTGAGGCGAGAAATCAAATATGTAGATGGAAGGAATCTAAGGAGGCGGCCTGCCGATCACGCTCACAGAGGTCCTGCGGTAAGACAGCTGCAGCCTGTCTGTTATTCTGTCATTACATTTTGAGTTATTAATCAAGACATCTGGGTCGTGGTGTAAAGAACATTCTTGGCTTGTGAACCTTTAAAAAAATAAATCTGTCGTTACTTTATTTTATTATTATTCTATCAGACATTACATTGTTAGTGAACAGTTGTGGTTACAGTTCTTGCTTTCTATTGCTTTTATTTTATAGAATTCTTATTTATGCACCAATAGACCAAATCAAATTACTTGGAAGTTAAAACTTGTCAGTAAACCAGATTCTGATCTTTTTAGTTTGGGTGATAAAGCCTGGCTGTTTTTGGAGCTCTGCTCCCTCTGTGCTGGGGGGATTGTGCAATATTGCGACAGTCATTTCCTGTTAGAGCCCAACCGCAGTCTTTGATCTGAGATAACACTAACCTGTCAAAAATAATGCACAAAGCAAGTAAGTACACAGTGTACGCAGTGTACTGCATGTTAGTGTACTGACCAGAACACGTCCAATGATGTGTTGCAGTAATCCAGTCTGGAGGAGACAAAGGCCTGGACCAGCTTTTCAGCAGTACAATGATGATTACTGTGATTATTGATTATTGGTTACTGTGATTTTCACAATAACTCTGTCATTACTGTAATTATCCGTTATATACACAATGTGTTACTGTATTAGTATTTTATTAAACCCCAAACAGAAAATCCTCCCCCACAACCAGTGTTGGGAAAGTTACTCAGAAATTGTACATAATAAATTACTCCTTAAAAAGTTTAAATTATTACTTTACTTCTTACTGGGTGATAAAAGAGGGGGGGGGGGGGGGGTTCAAAAAATTTTCAAAATCAACGTGTGGTCAGCATTAATTATAAATATAATTATCCAAATAGGCTAATTTTAGGAAGATGATAAGATTAACAAAATTAACAAAGTTTTTAAACAAAAATTTTTATTGAGATGTTTTTGATATGACTTTTAAAGTTTAGCTGAGAATCTAAAATCACTCCTAAATATTTTTCTTGTTCTACCTGATCAATGAGTTCGCCATTCATTTTGATGTTAAGGTCATTTGTTGTCCGAGTTCTTTTTATAGAAAAACACACAGATTTAGTTTTCTTCAGATTAATTGTTAAACAGGATTTGTTTAGCCAATTAAACACTTTATTTTCACAAGACTTTTGGATAGTGTACTGCCGATAACAGCAAGGCTTTTGCCAGACACATAAACCACAGTGTCATCGGTATACATCTGAAGGCCAACTTCAGGACACACTTCAGGCAGCTCGTTCACATACAGGCTGAAGAGAATAGGCCCCAGTATTGTTCCCTGAGGGATTCCGGTCTTAATTTTACATGGGGCAGATTTTACATGATCAATAACTACACATTGTTCTCGGCCCTGTAAGTATGACTCGAATCATGATAATGCCTGGTGTGACATGTTAGGATGACAGTTTTGAGATAAGACGGCTATGGTTTACTGGGTCAAATGCCCTCTTTAAGTCCAGGAATACTGCACCCACGATGTTTCCTTCATCAAGCGGCTGCACAATGTTTTCCAGTAATGCGCAGATGGCTGATTCAGTGGAATGGTTCAGTCCGAAACCATTCTGTTGAGGGTGTTTATACTGATGTGTTTCTAAATATTGAGTTGAGCTGTTCTGAAACTACTAACTAACAAGACTTATTGGTCTATAGTTACTGAGATCTGTGGTATTCCCGGACTTAAAGATGGGTTTAACCAGTGCCTTTTTCCAAGCAGTAGTAGTAATAGAGACATTTATAATGTGGGTCAAAGTTTGGATGATAATTGGAGCATATTTTATATTTTTTATTCATTTAGCTGACGGTTTTATCCAAAGCGACTTATAATTGCTATACATGTCAGAGGTCGCATGCCTCTGGAGCATCTATCTATGCACCACCACCCCCAGGAATGCTATGTTATTGTTGCCTTTGGATAAATTGGTATTCAGGTCTGAAATAGCTTTCAATACCACTGCCTGATCCATTCTCATTTGCTGATGACAATATGTTGGGGGGCTCTTTATCTGAAAATTTAGAAGCAAGATCTTGTACGGATTTAATAAAAAATTGATTAAATGCATTAGCAACTTGGACAGGGTCTGAAATGTTTTTTCCTTCACATTTTAGTTCAATTGAATTATTTGTATTTACATTAGGTTCACTTAAACTGTTTATTTGTTTCCACATTGCTTTATAATTTCCTTTAGCTTCAGTTAGAATTTTCATATAATAGTTTGCTTTTGAGCTTTTACTACTTGATTTCATAACCTTTAAATATACATCAGGTCTGTCATATCTGGTTTTAAGAGTTTTAGAGCAAAATCTCTTTTTTTAATAAGCTGTCGCACTGCATCATTTACCCATGGAAGCTGTACTTTTCTTTGTGGTCTTTTGCATTGTTTTAAGAATGTATTTAAAATGTTACTCATTGTAGAAGTAAATACGTGGCAACACTTGTGAGACTTCATCCCAATTAGTGTTAGTTAACTCATTCTCAAATTTATTAAGATCCTTGTGGGGAATTATTAACTTTGTTGCCTTTTGGTCATTTTTATATACAGTTAGCCGCTTCTTTGAGAGTTTTCTGGAAATTAATATCATGTTATGATCTGATAAGCCACACACCAGATTGTATGTTTTTAAGACTCTTTCATGCTTATTTGAGAAAACTAAATCTATTGCTGTCTGTGATGTTTTTGTCAGGCGAG